TAAAATGAAGAATTAGTGAAACTTTAGTATTTTTTCTGTACGAATGAATTAAAAAGAATTGCCTATGAATAAGTTTGTGTTGTATGACTAAAACAGACGTGGAGTAACGAACAATTTCGGGTCGTACATAACTACCAGCGCAGCTGTGAATGAGACGGAACAGTTGTCTTTTTGAATACACCAAAGCCAGCTTTCCCTGGACCTGTTTGAAGCAACACTTGCGTCTGCCTCATTTAGAGTGTGCGTTGTGTTCGGTTTGGTTGTCTCGAGTGGTCGCTCGTTGCGGATAGTTGAAATAATGAAAATTTAGAATTTTAGAATTTATATTGCGGTTTACAATTTATTTTGTAGCTAGTTCGTAGCTGCGCTAGCCACCGACAGAGTAAAATTGTGATGAGGTTTTGTGACTATATAAATATAGGTTTAATATAGAGTGTCATGCAAAAATGTTCACCGATTTTTTAAATGGTTATATCTACCCTTCAAATTATCATAATTTTATTATAATTAATTACTTCCAATTTAGAATAGATTTTTGTGAAAAACATACATTCCCAAGTAAAAATTAAGGGTGGCGCATCGATGATTATAGGTGGCGATGGTAGATTACAGGTGTCATAACGGTGGGTGGCCAGATCTGCCAAAAATCGACAATAAAACTCCAATAAATCGAGAGGGTGGCGAGTATAGGCGGCAGTTATCGATGAATCATCGATGATTTATAGGATCTGAATCATCGATGGCACATTGCAGGTAAATTTCTTGTAAGCCACCGCTAACCGTTTTCCCAAACAGCATAGTGCACGAAGGAATTTGCCACTGTGATTTATACGAGGTAGAAAGGAGTTATTGGGTTGCGGTTCATTCGAGATCCAGATGAAACCATGATTTCGTTCTGCGTGCTTGGCTTGTAAGATTTTGATTCACGTTTAATTTAGCGTGAATTCGGTAGGTACGAGTAAAACTGACGGACAGTTGTAGGGCGTTCACAAATTTTTCATGCTACAGTGAAGTAACGCGGCATGTATTGGACTGCTACTGGTATAAATTTTCCGAGTAGCAGTAGAAAATTTTGTTGCGAAAAGTTTTCCGAAAGATAATGGTGAATTCAATTTTTCATGTGTATTGCAGCTAACGGCCACCATCTTCCTGATATTGTTTTCAAAACATAAGAATGTTCATGCTAACCTCGAGGAAAATAAACTTTCTTCTTTATGTAACTCCGTAACTCTTTTATTTCGCCTCAAGACTGCTCAATCGGTTCTGCCCCACCCTGTATATCGCGTAAATTTATTGCGAATTTTGGGTAAGCTCCAAGTATGCTGTGCTTGAAATATTGCGATAAATTGAGACTAATTGATTGTATCAATAAGTATAAATTATATGGTTCGATTATGTGTGTTTCACAATATTTATATTATTCTCAAGTTGACGCATTTTTCTAAAGCCACGTTGACGCAGTTGACAGCGGTCCGGCATCACTAAAGCGCAGCGAGCAGCTACACGTGGACACGTTCATACCTGTTGGGTTGGAGCACGTCGGCGTTGAGCTTCTTCCTCATTAATCAATAACACGTCCTGCTTGGAATACGTGTTTTCCGGGTAATTTGCTTGTCAAAATAGTATCCTCTTTGCGCAGAGGGATACGAGTAAAAATTCGGTTTTCTGTTGCTGACTTCGATGGTGAAATTCAATTATTTTGGGGAAATTTTCTTAAACCGCGAGATAATTATTTTGAGTTTACGTTTACATTTCTAATTAAGTGGAGTCTACGTCTTTCCTGCGAAAAATATTAAACACTAGGCTGCAGAAAAATAGTGACACGAAGTGATGAAGGCATTTCACGCCTAACTTTTCTAAATCATCGAGTGATAATTCGTTAAAACACGCAAGAATATACTTGACGAAAATATTTCAAATCGAGCCGCTGTTAAAATTGGTGTGATGTTCACAATATGAAACTGCGATACTCATCAAGCATTTTCCTGTAGCCTTTGCTCTGAGCTGAACCATCGTTCGTTATGGATAAACGAAGTATCTTTCAACGGCTGTTTCTCGATTATAGCAGCTTGTTCATATAAAATGGCGAATGGAACGATCTAATCATCACGGTGGGAGCATTAACTTCTATCATTCGATGAAATTATTATTTGCAATACTTCAATTAAATCTTTTAAAATTACTCGACTGCCATCTCCTCTCCGATGGCGCAACGGTAGAGGCTCTGCTTCGCGTACGGGAGATCGGAGTTCGAATCCTGCAGGCCGAGACTTTCTTCAATTCGATTTCTCACGAGGTATGTGTATGGTACTCTGATAATTTGTTCCTGCTACATGTCTGACATTGTTACTTGTACTGCCAGGGTGTATATTCATACGTAGTCCTCAGAATATGGTTGTCTGGAGCAATGTCAGTAAATGTAAATGCATCGTATGTGAAGCTAATGGAAAAATTTTTATCGACTTCATTTTAAAGGTGACCATCGGTGGCTCATCGATGCGCCACCGGTGCCAATGGGCAGTTATTGGTGGAAGAAGAGTTTTTCTAGTAGGGTGGCCATAGGCAGGCTATAGGTGGAACATAGGCCGGACACGCCATCGATGCGCCATCAGTGCTCCACCTATAATTTCCACCTGTAGCCACTGATAATCATCGATGCGCCACCTTAAATTTTTATTCGGGTTGTGATAAGTGAAATTAAAATTAACTTGAATTTATTAATTTAATGAGGCGATGTAGTCAATCAAAAGGTCGAAACATATTTATGTGACGCCCAAATTTATAATTTTTTGCGCGATGCATCCAGTTTACCGTAGTTGTGCACGATTTGAAATTAACAATAAAGTTTATAAGAAAAGTGCAGTTCGCGGTAATTTTAATAGATCTTTATTGAAATTTGTGTTACCTGTGCATCGCACCACGGCCCTCATGCAGTTTCCACAGCATATTTTTGATGCAAATTATTTTTATTATGGATAAATTAATGGATTGTTCACAATACTCGCCGTTCTCTTCAAGAAGTTTATGAATTTTCATTAAAGCTCCTCACTGACTTCTTGACTGTGGGTTAAATAATTGTGCATAAAAATCCCTGCGCATTTAACTTTATGTTAAATAGTAAAAAAATATGTGAAAATCGCAATTGAGATTATCCACAGTAAAGATAAATAAAGAAGGAAAATTAGCACTGCATTTCTGAACAAAGTGCAATTTCAAAACTTTTAAACTTGCAAAAATTCCCCAACGCCTTCAGATTTAATTATCCCTACAGTTGGAAAGTACTAACATAGCCGAAATTTTAATAATCAATGGCATAGCAAAATAAATCTCATTTCACCTGAGCACTAAATATAAAGATATTACCAAAGAGGCAGGTATTACCTGCACCACCTGGTATAAATATCTGGTATAAATAACTGGTATGGTATAAAATATTACCTGGTATAAATATATGGCGGCTGCATGGCCTTGTCGGAGGTTATTCATGCACAAATTTGTTTTGTTATAAAAAAATACTCTTCATACTCTGTTTGTCTTAATTTTGATGACGTCTTTGCGGCGGAGGTTACACCTCTCGCCTTCTCTTCTACAATCCATGATGGCGCCTTGTGTCAAGCCTTTGGACAGACACTAGAGAGATACGGCCAAAATGTTTTTGTACTAGGAAATTTATGATAGTTTTGAGCAGTTGCTTTGAGCTTCTAGCTCCAATGGATTTTAGAAATTGGTCGTATAAAATACGGAACCCTCTAATTTCTTTTGCCTCTGTAATAAATTTGAGTTGATTGTGAATTTAGACGCTGACTGCCATGAGCACGCACTCCTCTTCAGTGACGATAAAGAGTAAATACATACTCGTACTGACTACAAATGTGACGATGCTTTATGCGTAATGTGGCCACGCTTAAGCATTCTGGCCTTGTCGATACCACGAAGTTTTAAAGGGTTGCTCAGTACTCTGAATTTTCAGCGTTTATTTTTACCACAGCTTTTATAAATGAATTGCTTTATCATCTAAGAAGGATGGAATAGTTCTGCCCATAGACAAAAATCATAACTGATAGCTTTTTCTTATCGCGATATTTCTCCGCTGTAAAATGTGGTCAAAATTCACGTTTCCCTCTCCGATTGCCAGCTACTGCCGTGATCATGGGTTATTTGAAAGCACTTGTTTTCTTGCTTTTCTTGGAAATGCCTGCTTAGGAAATTTGCCTTCTTGTATACATTGTAAATACTTGTTCTACAATCGTCTATTCGAAATAAAAAATGCGGGAGTTTCTTAATGAACAGTGATGTGACTGCTTTATAGCCTCTTTATAATCTAATAATTTAAGCTAGCCTCTTTATAATCTAGCCTCATTTGGGTGCGTGTTTGTTCTGTATGTTGTGAACTGAGATGTTGGGAGCAGGAGTGACGTTCGAGGAATATTTGATTCATTTACTTCTGAAACTCCTGATATTTATCCATTAAAATAGCGGCATTATCACTTATGTGTACAATTACGATACGGCAGAGACTGGCCAGATCACTGACACAGTCTTAGTGAGCTATCTGATTACTCTCTGGGATCACTCGCAGCGATAGGGATTGTTGTTTTTCCAGTTAGACAGTTTCCCAGTTTTTTAATGGTTTGTGAACACGTCGATGTTCTCCGATTTCGTTGGAATCGCATATCACCAGCCAAATCCTTATTTTCTCACTTTCCTTATTTTTAACTCTGATTTTTTGTCTCGACGAGCTTCGTCAACATTTCTTATTGTTCTTAAATACCAGAAGTATCCTATAATTTTGAAGACACCACATCTTATTACATCAAATATGTAAATCCAGTTCAGACCTTTGATGTCTTAAAATTTTGTTAGCTAATAGAACGTTGTGGATGATGCTATTCTTCTATTATGGTTGTCGTACTTTACTGGTATAACGGTAGTAAGGATTGTGTGTGTAGGTAAACTGCGGTAAAATAACGTATAATACAAAACCTTATGAATTTTTTTACAGTGACCATTATCATTGTTTGAAAGTTGTTGAAAGTGAAAAGAAACCTTAACGTCAAAATGATGAAGGAGCTTCGCATAAAGAACATCCTCACTGGCCTCTTCGCTTCGGTGAGACTGACGTCAACTTATGTTTGTTCATGAGACATATCATCAAGATATACGGAGTGGTAAACTTAGCTATTTTGCTGCGTGGCAATTGAATGACTTGCAAACACTTATTTGATTCTCGGTGCATGCTTCATTTTTGATTATTTATATTTAATGCAATAGTGTACATAACATATTGTATGACCGCGTTCAAATGTTCACAGGTTACGTGCCTCAAATTTAAAACCAGTCGGCATTAAATACCAGATATCAAATATGTTTGAAGCCTTTTTTAATAGATTGTCAATGAGAGTTCATTTTTTACCAATGAAATTTGTTTTACACAGACCGGCTTTGCGAGTGTTAATTCCTAAATATTTGATTTTATAAGAGCTAACTAAATGCACTTTTTGACAATTGTGCATGGACGAACCTCATTTTTTAAATTGTTATTTAGGATAATTACCTGATATTATCAGCGGCGAGATCCTCAATTATTATCAAATTGCAAATCAATTGCAATGAATTGAAATTCTTGAAACTCACTCAGTTGCCAACGACTAAAATATTTTTTAAGAAGGCACAACGTGCATGTTTTAGTACGCATAAATTTCTCAAAAGTTCCCTTCATTAATAATGATCGCTAATGTGAGTTAATTTAATAGCGCTGAAAATTTATTGAGATTCGCATGTACCATTTGCCAGTCACACAAAATGACCTCACACTTTCATTGCACGGTTACTGCTTCTTTTTGCACCAAAAGTGCTACGTATCTTCTTGTAAGTCTCATGATTAGATCAACATCGACGGCAGCAACCCAATTCTGAATATATCCGAAGATAGTTGTTATTATTTCTTATCTTAATGCCATATGTCCTGTTATTTACATTGATTATTTTGCCTGATGCTGTTTATATCGTTTCAGTTTACCTTGTTCTGTGTTGCAGGCGCTGTGCGTTGGACTCTCCATGGCATTGTATCCCGACAGCGTGAGTACCGTGAGCTGCTACAATATGTTGTTTCCTCATTAGATTATCATTTGTCCATGATCCGTGTGGTGCGGTTATGTTTTATTAAGTTAACTTTCGTGCAAAAAATGTTACAGCTAGGCTCCAAGTTTCTTTAGACCCAAAATGCACGCATCTTTTATTTTTTAACAATGCATGTTTCCCTAATGTTAGAGTAGAAAATGAAGGCATTTACCTCATAGGTATTTGTTTATTACATTTTATAATCTGGTATATAGTCTATAAGCAAAGTTATCGACAAAGTTTGAACAATTGTATAGTTTTCCAGGACGTTTTCGTTCGTTCTACTTGTGAACTGAGATAATTTTTGGTTTAGGTCAATTAAAAATGGAACTGAAAGGTTCCATTTTAATTAATTTTATGTGTTAAATTAATTAATCATTAATCGAATACAGTTATCATGATCTATCCGATCATTTGATTGGAAATTATTTAGGATCAGGTTCACAAAATTATTTTTAATCCTTCCCATTCAGCAACATCGAATCGATTAATTGCACCTCAGAAGCGTAACACGTCTGTGCTCTTTGGCCGGGCCAAATTGTGTTAGGGTAACCCATACTGAATCAAACGCACACAGAAGTGCATCGCTATTTCAACAAAGTCTAATTTAATTCTCTAACTGTGATCCACGTACTTTCGCACAGAGCCTTATAGAAAACCACGAACAAACAAGCTGAACATTTCATCAATTACAGATACGAATTTATCCGTAATTATTAACCTTCAACATTTCTAGTAATCTACCCATGTTCACCCGCAGGTAAACGTGGCTTCACGCTCGTCTGGACTGCAGGGCTGTCGGGCAACCACCACTTCCGTGCGCTTCAGGACCCTGACGATGCGAGGGCCGAAATCGATGGTGGTGAGCCTTTCAAATACAAAAAAAAATTTGCAGGATTACGGCGGAAAGTATATACCTCTTTCAAGTATATACCTCTTTCAGGAAAAATATATATTTTTCAATATTAAGCTGGAAACATGTTTGTAACGTAGATTTTTATGCCCCGCCGATTTTGTTCCACGAATTGTTGTATAATACTCCTTGGCATTGTGAATTATTTTTCGGGTCATTTACCTGTTTTCACTTTTTTCATGCCGGTTTATTGAATGTAATTTTATTTGAGTAGAGTTAATACTCGTATTTTCAGCTAATGCATGAATTACTCGCTGATTTGCATATTTAAAGAAGCTTGGTAAATGATTAACATGTGGGGCAATGCGAGTCCTTCCTTTATATTATCGATGAAAACGTGACCATATGTCTGACTTACTGACGCTAAAGTGTGTCCTTCCTTCAGGCGTACAGACGCTAACGTGTGTCCTTCTCTCAGACGTACAGACACTAAACTGTGTCCTTCCTTCAGACGTACCGACGCTAACGTGTGTCCTTCTCTCAGACGTACCGACGCTAAACTGTGTCCTTCCTTCAGACGTACCGACGCTAATGTGTGTCCTTCCTTCAGACGTACCGACGCTAACGTGTGTCCATTCAGACATACAGACTCTAACTTGTGTCCTTCCTACCGACGTACTGACGTTAACGTGTGTTATTTCTTCAGACGTACCGACGCTAACGTGTATCCTTCCGTCAGACGTACCGCCACTAACGTGTGTCCTTACTTCAGGCATACCGACACTAACGTGTGTCCTTCCTTCCGACCTACCGACTCAAACGTTTGTCCTTCCTTCAGACGTACCGACGCTAACGTGTGTCCTCCTTTCAGACGTACCGACGCTAACGTGTGTTATATTTCTTCAAACGTACCGACTCTAACGTTTGTCCTTCCGTCAGACGTACCGACGCCTCACGATCTCGGCGAACGATTTGGCCTTCGCAACGACTGCGTCCAATAACATCGCAGCTTCGGATGTGGTTCAGTGCGCGAGAATGTCTGCTTTGGCAAGTGAGAATCCTACTTTTAATTCCATCACGGGGGAAAGCATTTCATTTTATCGGATGATAACGCGTTACATCCGATGGACACTTCTGATTAACGTGTGCTTTGTCATTGCGATTACGCTACTTGGATAATACTAAATATTATCGCAAACGATACCGAATGATAAAATATTCAGATCTATGGACCGAATATTGGTAGCAGCATTCATGATGAACTTACCTAGGATCCGGCCAAGCCTGACCAGACCGAGGACGGCGGCTTACGGTATCACCGATACAACGACGCGGTTTCGAATCGCGACTTCCGGGCTTATTTAGGCTTGATTCTCACCTTTCTGCCTGGCACGTGTCAGACATTCCAATCTCGATCTGTTCCCAGCTAGGTGCATTTGCCTGTTTAGTCCGGTCTCGGGTCGTCCTCCCTTCAGTCCTTTTCGTAGTCCTTACTTCGGTCCCTTCCGTAGTTCCTACTTCAGTCCCATTCGTAATCCTCACTTCAATCCCTTTCATAGTCCTCACTTCAGTCCCTTTCGCAGTCCCCACTTCAATCCATTCCCTCTCTATAGTTGTCCTCATTTCAGTCCCTTTCGTAGTCCTCATTTCAGTCCCTTTTGTAGTCCTCACTTCAGTCCCTTTCGCAGTCCACACTTCAGTCCCTTCACTTTCTATAGTAGTCCTCATTTCAGTCCCTTTCGTAGTTCTCACTTCAGTCCCTTTCGCAGTCCACACTTCAGTCCCTTCACTTTCTATAGTAGTCCTCACTTCAGTTCCTTTTGTAGTCCTCACTTCAGTCCCTTTTGTAGTCCTCACTTCAGTCCCTTTTGTAGTCCTCACTTCAGTCCCTTTTGTAGTCCTCACTTCAGTCCCTTTCGCAGTCCACACTTCAGTCCCTTTCGTAGTCCTCACATCAATCTCTTTTGTATCATTTTCGTTTTTTCAGTTCATTTCGTTCCTTGCCAGTGACGTCCCGGTCTAAATATCTTTTGCCTTGATCGTGGCTTGACCGTGCTTGGCATGACAAGTGCTTTGCACGGCTGACTTGCATGCTTCTATTGAAAGGTATTTAATAATATTTGACTGGACCGTGACTGGCGAGGGCACGCAGTATGGTGTGAATCAAGCCTAATTATGAATTTTTTTGCGTTCGGTTGCAATTATCAGTCGACTTTGACGAAACTAAATGTTATTTATGGAAGGTACGATCAGCTAGGGTCTGATTGGCTCAAATTTAGGGACCTGTCATAATGTAATCAGCTCCATATCAAAAAGCATTTAATATATTATTTGTCAATGTATCTTAATGTGTAAACAAACTATGTATTCTTATATCATAACCGTGCTAATATCTCTCCATTGTTTTGCAAATTTATTATGACGTGCTTTCAAGTGGTTGTGCCAAAGTTGCCTTCAATTGGGGGAAATTTATGCTGTACTTTAAAAAAATTAACGGAGTTTAACGGAGTGGGTCTCCGTTAAACCGTGGTCGAGAGCGGACGCTCGTGCTCGTGGTCCCAAATTTCTAAATTTTTAACTTTTTACTGCGCCGTTTTCGGAACTCTTTTCGCATTTTTTTATGATCCGTGCCAGAGGATAACCGAATTTCAGTTCAGTTCAGTGAAGTCAGTAAAAGTGAGTGCAAATAGAATGAACAAGCCAAACAAGTGAAAGTGTTTTTATTTTTAAATAACGCGGACTTGTAGAGTCAGTGAGGGTTGCCGCGCGAGGGTAACGCCCGCGCCCTGGCCCACGCGGGACAATAAGCCTTTGTTCTCGCGCCTACCTCTTCCTAGCCGCTGTGATCGCCGCTCTCTGAAAGCCGCTTGCTCTCAAGTCTGTAACAATTTTGAACAATATAACAATTTGTACACTTTTTACTCAACTTGATTTTGGTTTTTAACTTGTGTTTGTCTAGCTCTTGCATTTCCCTCGGCAGCTGCAGCTCAGCTGTTCCTCAAGCCGGAATTTTCGAGGGAACTTTACTATACTCAACTCAACTCAGTTTTGTATGTTTCTCCGTCATTTTCTGTATTTTTCTCAGTCCTTTTCTCCGTTCAAGAGAACTAGTTCGTGCATTTAATAATTTAATTATGGCTGGACAGAAAATAAAAAAGATAGTCGAAAAGCCCTCTACGGCCTCTAGACAAAAGCCGTCTACGGCCTCTAGAACACAAAATAAAACCAAATCAGCCCAGCCAGAGATGAAAGTTTGCAAGTACTGCAAAGAGATCTCTTTGAGCGAAGTCCAGATGGTCACCTGTGAACTATGCGAAGATCTCATTTGCATCAGCTGTTCGAAGTTGAGCTCTAAGGAGCACACATTTCTCCAGAAATCTAAATTGCTCCATTGGTTTTGCCGTGATTGCGAAAAACCAACTCTTGGTGCTCGAAAAAGAGAGGAGTCGGTGGAAGAGCACTGCAATGATTCGAAATTGTTGAATGATGTAGTAAACTCCTTGAGTGAGATGGAGCGCTCGCTGAGTGATAAACTGAGCTCGCTATGCAATGAGCTGACTGAAGTGAAGGCTCAGTTGAAAAATACGGAATAAATGGAAGTAAAGAAAAGACAGCTGATTTATCTGAAGTCGCTGATGAAAGCCCACGTGAATTGCTTGATAGAGAACGTAGGAAGGCCAACCTGGTCTGGTTTGGGATTCCTGAAAGTAACGCATCTGATGCGAAGGACCGAGTGATGGATGACTCGGCCTTTGTTGTAGACTGTTGCAGCAAGGTACTCAACACATCAATTGATGTTATATCTTGCAAGAGGCTACGCTCGAAGGATGCTGCTGGCAACACCTTCAGACCTTTGCTGGTGACTGTAAAGGATTCTGCTCAGGTCTGGAGCGTGCTGAAAACAGCGAGAAAGCTTGGAGAATCCGCTGATTACAAGTCAGTTTTTGTAAAGAAAGATTCCACCCACTTGGAAAGGGCGGTTTTTCGCAAGAAGTGGCAGGAGAGAATCAGGCGGAAAGGCACGGAAAATCAGGTCAATCACTTCCAAGCTGCCAAGACAACACCGGCTACTCACGGACAGTCGGAGGAGATGGAGGACAAGTAATTAGTAGGAATGATGTCCGTAGATCAAGGCCTGTAAATAATGTAGGAAGTAACCGCATACATCAAAGTGAAAGTAGACAAAAAGTTTTAAAATGTTTTTACACGAACTCGGATTCCGTTTTGAACAAGAAAAGTGAACTGTTAGCTGTGATCGCAAACGAGTGTATAGACATTATTTGTATTACAGAAACACTCCCTAAAAATCACGGGGGGAAAATTGTACCTGTTGAATTTCAACTGCCAGGTTTTGATTGTTTTCATAACTTAAATGAAGAGCAGTGCAGTAGAGGTGTAGCTCTGTGTGTTAGAACCTCATTTGGGGCCCAGCAAGTTCAACGTGTCAGTATTAACGGAACCGTGTCAGACTGGGCATCAGTGCGCAGTGGCGTGCCACAAGGAAGCGTCCTGGGGCCTATTTTGTTCGTTGCTTTTATAAATGATCTGCCAGAAGTAGTGTCCAGCGAGTGCTCCATGTATGCCGACGACATAAAAGTTTATAGTTCTGTGAAGAATGCGTCAAATAAAGCGCAATTGCACGATGATCTTGACAGCTTAGTTAACTGGGCTGATACGTGGCAGCTGCGCTCTAATGCTGACAAGTGTAAAGTACTTCACCTCGGGAAGAACAATGAACAGCAAGATTACAGTATGAGAAGACATGGTTGCAACGAGAGAGTAATGATTGAAAAGTCTAGTGTGGAAAATGATCTCGGAGTTTATGTCAACAAGGAGCTGAAATTTTCTAAGCATGTCGAAACGCAAGCTAACACATCCAACAAACTTCTTGGACTAGTCAGACGCTCATACGAGTTCCTAGATGCAGAAACGATGAAGCAGTTGTTTGTTGCCGTCGTACGCCCGAGTCTAGAGTTTGGAAACGTTGTGTGGTCACCGAGATTTGAAAAGGACAGAAATTTAATAGAGAATGTTCAAAGACGTGCAACAAGGATAATTCCAGGCTTGAAGGGCAAGTCCTACGAAGAAAGATTGAAGATTATGAAGCTTCCAACCCCAGTTATCGACGTCTTCGTGGGGACCTCATTGAAGTATACATGTATACTCATGGTCTATACAAGGTCCCTGAAGGGTTACTAGAATTTGAAACAAGAACCAACACCAGGGGCCACGGCTATAAGCTAAAAAAACTGCGCTATACAACTTCTCCACGCGACAAAATTTCTTCTCCCTTCGAATCACCGACATGTGGAATAGCCTCCCCAATGACATCGTTGGCGCTCCAAGTATGAACGCGTTGAACGCGTTCAAGAACAGACTAGATAAAGCTATGGAAAAATATATGTTCAGATTTGAAATGCCTAGCTCCTTATCGAACCCGGTGGAAGTCTAGTAGCTACTTCAAACTATCGTCAGTCATGAAAAGATCCGGTCAAATGACACGAGTTTAGATCTATGAACAAGGCACGAAAAGGAAAGAATCGGCGACAGGCCACATCAGGCCTACACTTCAGCGTCGACATCACTATGTTATGTTATGTTATGTTAATTAGAAACCTATGTTAAGTATTAGTTGGGTTAGAGTGAGGCATAATAAAAATTACCATCTGATTTCTGTTTCCCCCTCTGACTAGCTAATTATTTTCGACATTAAAAATTCAGTTCACAAGGTAATCTATCAACAAGCATGTAAACTCAGTAATAAGGAGCAGTGATTGCAAAATCTGTTTTTACATTTACGGCTCTTGTGAGATACAAATTCAATGATATATATTAATCACATAAGCATTAATCCCATTTCTGTGAATCACATACAAAATTGCCACTAAGCGAATTAAATTTTTCCAGATATGACTGCCTTCGCCTTCGATGGAACTTGCATGGCATACCAATTCAACAGGAAGCTCTGCTCCTGCCTCGGTGGCGAAAAAGTCATTTACGTGGCGAATTCCAGCATTTCCTACGGACCGCCTGCAACTGTGCCCTTCAGTGAGTACATGAGATACTTGTAAGAATAAGCTGTAACATTGATGTGCATGAGTCTTACATTCGCTGCTTATAAATAAGCTGCGAAATTCGTAGTTCACTTGACCAGTATCACATAAAATCATGTTACACGTTACAAGTTTGATTGAAAGTATAGGTGAACGTAAAATTAGGATTTCATTTGTTAAGCAGAGAATTTGCTTTAATGTCAAGCTAGTCAGCGATCGAGGTAACCATGAAATAAATAAATGTAGTAAGGTTTTAGTTGCATGAGTGAACTATTACTGATTCCACAACCAAATCCAATACCTTCATCATCATCTGACTACATCCATCAGTACTCAGAAGGATTTCGCGTAACTTGTTGTGGATATATAACACCTAGCAGGCTAGCGTTAGAGGGCAGAAGTGTTGTTTAATTGACTTTATTATGCGCGGCTGGGACTTGCGCGGCTGGATTATGTACTAATCTCGAGCCTAAAGGCACTTTTACACGCGGCTAGTATTATACGTAGCTGCGAGTTGGCGCTGCAAGTTGTTGCACTCCCAGTTTTGCAGGCTGAAAGCTTATATACGAGGATAGTATTTGATAAACAGTATTTTCGCTCCGCAAATGCTAGTTCGTCGTACAGACCTCGTTCGAAGCCGTCGAGCGAGGTCTGTTAACATGGTGGAATTTGGACGTTACGGTAATGACGAGATTGAGGAAGCGTTTGATGAAGCAGGCAATGGAACCTGCTGAGGAGGTGAAAAACTATGTAGATCAGCGTAGAGTTTGCATGAGACCTAATAAGGTATCGTTCAAGTTTCAAAACACTACTTACTCCATTAGTTTCTGCTTGAATATTCATCGCGACGCATATACCGTAGCTCATACATTTTAAGTATCTATAAGAACAGTTCAATATCATTCGAACACCTCTTGACGTTCTTTGAACTGGCGTCGATGGGACAAGACATAGTTCATAACATTAGAAATATTTGCCCCTAGCGCTATACAGAGCGGCACAGATGGGCACATTACGGTTACTGTAGCCCTCACTGCCAATACTTCCCAAATAAAAATTAAGGGTGGCGCACCGATGATTATAGGTGGCGATAGTAGATTATTGGTGGCGTAACAGTGGGTGGCCAGATCTGCCGAAAATCGACAATAAAACACCTATAAATCGAAAAGGTGGCGAGTATAGGTGGGAGTCATCGATGAATCATGAATGATTTATAGGGTCTGAAACATCTATGGCACATTGCAGACAAATCTCTTGTGAACCACCGATAACCGTTTGCCCAAGCTGCACAGTGCACGATGGCACTAGTCACTGTAATTTGTAATTTATCCAACGTAGAAAGAAAGGTGTTAGAGGGTTGTGGGTCATTCGAGATCAAGACGAAACCATGACTTCGTTCTGTGTGCTTGGCTTCTAAGATTAAGTTCTGGAAAGAAAATTTAGCAAAAATTTAGCGTGAATTCGGTGGGCACGAGTAAAACTGACAGTTAGAAGTAAGGTGTTCACAAATTTTCAAATCAAAGTGAAGCCACTAGGCATGTATCAGATTGCTCCTGATATAAATTGTACGAGGAACAGTGAAAAATTTTTGTCGCAAAAAATACAGTTTCTCAAAAGATGACGGTGAATCCAATTATTATGTTCACATGAGATATTGAGTTAATTTATTTCGAATTTTACGAATGCACCAACTGGCTGTGTTGGAAATATTGCGATTAATTCAGACTAATTATTGTATCATAAAGTATAAATTCTAGGATCGATTAAGTGTGTCATATAATATTGACGATATTCTTAAATTGCCCCATTAATTTAAACTCTAAAGCCACGTCGACGTAGTCTGTAGAGGCAAGGCATCTCTAGCGCAGCGGCTCTGCGGCTCTCAAGTGCAGCGAGCAAGTCGAGTAAGCAGTAAGCACACGTTCACACGAGTTGGGTTTACGGGAGTCGGCGTTAAGCTTCCTACTAATCTTTACCATGTCTTGCTTGAAATGTGTGCTTTCCGGGTAATTTGCTTGTCAAAAAGGTATCATTTATACACAGAGGGATACGAATACAAATTCTGCTTTCTATCGCTTACTTCCATAGTGGAATTTAATTATTTAGGGAAATTAGCTCATAAAGGCAGATAATTATTTCGATTTTAAGTCTAAATATCTACTTGAGTGGTTCCGGTATCTTTTGGACGCATAAGATTAAAGATTAGGCTAGAGAAAATAGTGACTCGAAGTGGTGCAGGTAATCCACGCCTGACATTTAAAATCATCGAGTGATATCAATTCCTTATTTCACGCAAGAATATTCTTGGTGAAAATATTTCGAATCAAACCGCTGTCAATATTAGTGCAATGTTCACACTATGAAACTTCGATGCTTATTATGCATTTTTCCGTAGCCTTTACTCTGAGCTGAACCATTGTTCGCTATGAATAAACGAATTTTGTTTCAGTGGCTGTTTACTCGAATCTAGCATCATGTTCAAATAAAATTGTTGATGAAACGATCTAGTCATCACGATGGCAGCACTAACTTCTGCCATTTGATTAAATTAATACTTGCAATACTTCAGTCAAATATTTTAAAATTACTTTAGTGCCTAGTCCTCTCCTATAGCTCAACGGTAAAGGCTTTGCTTCGCGTGGGGGAGACCGGAGTTCGAATCTTGCAGGCAGGGAGTTTCTTCAACTCTATTTCTCACGAGGTATGTGTATGGTACTCTGAAAATTTGTGCCTGCTACATGTCTGACATTGTTACTTGTACTATAATGGTAGATTACGTACGCAGCCCTTAGGATGGTGATTGTGTGGAACTATGTCAGTAAATACATACGCATCGGATCAGAAACTAAATTTAAAGTTTTTATCGACTTCATTTTAAAAGTGGCCACGCCTGGCTCAGCAAAGTGCCACTGGTGCCAATGGCAGACGATTTGTCTTGCGCTCTGCAATCTATAGCAGGTGAAATTTGGTGAAAAAGTTAATTATTGGCGGAAAAATTAAGCGGTACGTGTTTTTGCACCGACGCAAAAGGTTAGCCCCACTTTGCAACTTTGGCGCTCTTGCGGACAGGACGCAGCGTAGACTCGCTGCAAAGGATGTGTTCATAGCGTAGTAGTTGTGCACGGATCTTATGCTCACCTAGGCAAGAAATGAGCGCGGGAAATGCCTCTAACTGAGTTTCAGAAAGGTGCCATTCAAGCCCTGATGGTGCCATTCAAGCAAGCGTCCTAGTCTGCGTCAAATGGGGGCACAAATGGGGTGTAGCCGCAAAGCCATCTCCAACTATCTCAAGGACCCCGTGAACTACGGAAAGCGGTACACCAATGGCCGCCCCAAGAAGATGTCGGCCCGTGACACGCGTCGCCTCTTCCGAGTTGCGGCCCCCGGCGACTTGAGCGCGCCCAAACTAGTCCAAAAGTTCGAGCTCAATGTCTCCAAGTCCAGCTTCTCTCGCACCCTCGCGTCCTCCGGCATCTTCCAATACGTGAAGATGAACAAGGCCCCACAATTGACCGAGGCTCACAAGCATGCCAGGGTCGCCTGGGTCACAAAGTATGCAAGTACTCGTGATGACATCTGGGCCAAACCCATCTTCTCTGATGAGAAGAAATGGAATTTGGATGACCCAGCTGGTCTGAAGTACTACTGGCATTGCCGCAGGAATGATCCAAAGGCAGCTTTTAGCCGCCAAAATGGCGGGGGCAGTGTAATGGTGTGGGGGGCCTTTCATGCAAACGGCGCCATCTTCCAACAAGATAATGTCTCAATCCATACGGCGTGCACGACCAAGGCCTTCTTCAAGCGTGCTAAAATCCGGGTTATGGACTGGCCAGCCAAGACCCGACATCTGAATACCATTGAGAACGTCTGGGGCTACATGGCTGGGATCGTCTACGCCTGCGGGAAGCAGTATGACACGAAGAACTCGAGTTGGCCATTCAAGCCGCCTGGTCCAATCTGGACTTCAACTACCTCCATGACCATAGATTGTCGCAGGGAATGAAAAAGCTCTGCTTGGATGTCTACAAAGCCAAAGGGAGCATATCGGTAAATAACCTTTCGCTTTGCAGCTGACGTATGTTTTGTTTTGCCTAAAATATCAAAGTGTACAAAGTGGGGCTAACCTTTTGCGTCGGTGCAAAAACATGTGTTTTTCATTTTCTCCGATACTAATTACATTTTCACTATTGTATTTTGATTACTGGGACCAAGACGATTCATTTGCCACCATTTGCACACTAAAACTCGCAAAACTCGATGTGTTATGATGTTTTAAAGGGGTGGGGCTAACTTTTTGCGTCGGGCTGTAGACCCGTGTAATAGCACCCTGACACTCGCCACATGGTCCTAAGCAGACCTGTCAACATTGAGTGCGGAGGGGGTCTTAAAATAGTTAAAAGAGTTCAGCGTGAAAGCTCGCATTTGTGGAGTTTCGGAGTTTATGATTAAGTTTAGGAAAAATAAAGGCCGGTAACTCGGAACCGGTATGAGTTCAGGTTTACATAATATCCACATGAGGGGGTGAATGTGCGTGTCCTTACAGATGTGTCTCATGATGTATTGTAGGGAGTAAGTGTAGGTGTGCGCATTTATATGAGCGTAGTCTATGCGATGCGCTAAACTACCGCTATGGTGATTAATGGTGATTATTTCAGGGCCTTTATACGTTCTTAGTAGGATATTCTTCTTCTATTAAGGCAAGTTATAATAGTATATAGTATAGTAATCCCATAGACGTCGGGGTTACCCTGGTGATCCATTGGTGCACAACGGTTTAGAATTTTTTTAGGATTCAACGGTTTTTGGCCCTATGTATATGAAAAACTGCTGACCAACAACTTTACCTGCGGTTGCAGCCAACCTCTCTTTGTATCTACTTGTATATTTGATCGATTCCTGTCGTAAAACCTCACAGTATCAAACTTTAAATAATTACTATTTTTTAGTTCAACTTTTTCATTCCTTAGTATTATATTATATAGACATTAATTCGAACCGAAAACCTTTAAGACATTATACTTAATCATTTCTTATGCAAGCGTCATAGAAAAAACACATCTGACGTGACTATCACTTGTATAAATATTACTGCTAAACAATCATACCCAGACTTTGCATACTAAATCTAGTTAGAAGCGAGTTCGATCCGCACAATTCACTATCACTGCGCGCTAAATACATAGCTTCCAGGTCTTTCCATGCAGTTAGCAGCGAGCAGGTGCACTGTTAGAAAAAACGGGTGAAAAATGTGCAGTACACGTTTGTTTTCGAAGTTCATTTACCGTAATCCGGTCATTCAGGTTATTTACCGTGGTTTGTTGGACTTCAGCGGTAGATGGCGCCACAGTCATCGGTCGAGTTAATATCTAGACGCCATCTTGAGTGGCAGACATCGCTTAAGAGTTAAATTTATTCAGTTTATTTTTGCTGGTTTATACTATTTTTTGTTGTTGGCTGTGATTTTTGTACAAATGATAAGGTATCGTGTGTTATTCAGTTGAGTTGCTCATGTTTGTTCTCCTATTCTTTGAGTGTTAATACTTTGAGCTGCGTTGGTTCGACATCAGTCGATCTCTGAACTCTATAGACTAGAGCTAGCCAGTGATACTTTGCACCGAGGTCGAGGAGAAATACCCTGTTATTAATCAAGAGTTGATNGTCTTCTTATGTCTCGCTATGTCTTCTTATGTCTCGCTATGTCTTCTTATGTCTCGCTTTGTCTTCTTATGTCTCGCTATGTCGGATTATAATATTCTGGATGAAAGAAACTGTTGGAAGCCGTAAAGTACAAAAACGGGCGTACCGTTTTCGTGTAGGAAAACGTTCCCGCCGTTTAAATTAACGGTAAGTAACCGGCCACTGTAACGCCGGTGGGAACGTTTTTTTTACGGTCGATTTTCTAACAGTGTGACACCAGCGGTCAGGTGACCTAGATATAGTGCTGGTAACAATTCGTACAACTTATTGGTGCTCATGCGTTATGCCAAACTTACTCCTAATATACACTTTCCCCGGATAGTTAATCGTTACACACCTTTATTAAAACAGACACTTCTATTTAACATGTTGCTCACTCTTGACAGTAAATGGTTATTTGCCAATTTATATCTCAACAGGCACCGCTCCCTACATCAACACCACTGTCGAAGGTATCGAATTCAGGCAGTACCGGCTCGTGAATTTCTTCTCAGATGTCTTTTCTCAAGTTTTGAAATCATTTGACGTAAATGGTAAGTTGTCAGAATGTCTAAAATACTTATTGATCGCTTCAAATTAAAAGGAACAATCTTACCTTCTTTCAAGACCGCTTTACAACGCCTACTCTTATGGGGGCGTAGTTTTTTTAAACCCAGTACAAATTCGAAGCAGTACCTGAACCATGTACTGCTCACTGGAAGGGGCACGCATGGAGCAGGAATGTCTCCTTGTCCTGTCGAGATCTTCCGCTGAATTCGTTTTAAATGTGACCAATTACTTTGCTCATACTCTCGCCCTGAAATCACGATGAAATGTTGCTGATCTACACTCTTGCCCAGGGAAAATGGTGACATCGGAACTGTTGCGAATGCAAATACTAATTTGACATAGGCATTATGTAAATGATTTATTGATGGAAGCTGCCAGCCTCAAGATAGCCAACACAATTGAATTTGATTTAATTTATCCGTTTTTCTTATTTCGATGAACGTTTTCTGTTACCGCCTTATGAGTGGCACTGATTATCCTGACGCACGAAATTTTCAAATTTATTGACAAATGGATTATTATTTTTCCTCATACAATTTAAAAATCTAAACTAATTCAAACTCTGAAAACTCAACAAAATTGCACTCTATAGTTGTAGAATATTCTAATTGCATTACTAATAGTCGATTCTGTTCTTTCCAGCGCTCAATATATACGAGGACTATTACCTTTTTCCTCGAGAAGGTGGCGGTTACAACGCTGCTCAATCCGTCTATTTGGACCTGGCTTCTTGCGTCACCGACGTCCCATGCGGGGTGCCCGTCCTCATCAGCACAACTCGTCCGACTTATTACATACGTGAGCACCAGAGCACATGATTTGTTTACATAACGAAGAGAAAAAAATAACCGGATGTGGTTGCTAATATGTTATTATTGCTGCGAAATTTAGAATGAAGTGTCATTCAAGAATGTTCCGTTGTTCAACTAAACTTCGGTGACCGTAAAAATTACATAATTGCCATCATAAGATCTTAGCTATTCACTTAGCGATTAAAAGTATTAATTGCACAGGGTAGGGGTGAAAAAAATATCGCATGTGTAACTAGTGGGCTTAACAGAATTTTGTTATTTTGCACTCTGTGAATGGGAGCCGTGGCAGAAGACAATCTATGTCAGGCAGACGTGTCCATTCAGAACGGCTCATATTCCCAGAGTTGAAAATATTCAAAGACAAAGTTTAGTCGATCAAGTTTAGTCGATCTCAAAGAGGTCTTACCTCTAATACTTCATGCGAAATTGGGGCTTGTGGTACAGTTTTGGAAAACATTAAATAAAAAGTAAAATGTTCGAAGTATCTCCGAGAAAAATTTTCCGGTCTAACCAATGCCAAGCTGAAAGAGAGAGTCTTTGTTTGGTCATACATAAGAAAACTTCTACAAGATGAATCTTTCGTTATTGAATGGAAAAGGAAGAAAAGCTAGCTGGAATTCATTTAAGCTAGTTGTGACAGGCTTCCACGAAAACAAAAAAGTCCACCTCCTTGTTGCTGAATTGTTGCAAAATTACAAAATGTTGGCTACAATGAGTCATGAGTCCAATCTCTTCACTCACATGTGGACTAATTTCCAGAAAATCTTGTAGCAGTAAGTGAGGAACAACGAGAATGTTTCCACAAATATTAGAGAAATGAAGTGCTGATACCAAGGTTGATGGAATGTCATGATAACAGACTACTGTTGTATGTTAAAAATGGAAAATTCTAATGAGCACAGCCAAAAAACATCATAAATAGTTTCAATGGAAAATAAAGCCATTCTATGAAGGCTTATAATAACTTTGAAAAACATATGTATTACTACTATCCATATATAAACTAAATATTGCTATTTGGTTTGCTTTGCCTTCATGTTCAAACAACAAAAACTAATCCGTAATCATCACATTTATAAATTACTTAGTCTTACGTGTTGGGAGAAAAACCAACAAAATATTTAAAATCAGCCCAAAAAACTACATAAAGATCATACAACAAAATTTAAAAAAACTTGAAAAAGTTTTTTGGTGCCGACATTTGTAGTCAAAAAATGTCACCCTAACTTATGTACCGGGAAACTGAAACAAATGTCAAGAAAATGAATAATGGAATCTGGGTAACTTCTTAATATAACATACATAATAATGCCATAGACATCATAATACGTCATGCAGTGTCATGAAAGATTTAAGCCTTATCAAGAATTCATTAAAGTTAATTTAGCCTCTTCATCTACTTTTTTAAAGTCAGCATAGAGGAGACTTGCGACGTGTTTAAATAGGTTGTGAAGTCCGTTGTTATAGTTATCCTATCGAGCATGTCTGCAATGTACGTGTTGCGGTGATAGTCGGTTAACGTATTTAATTTTGTATCTTAGATTATATCAGGATATGTGAATAAACTTGAATTCATCGTATTTTGGGGGCCCTGAGGAACTCATCAATATGCATACATGACCTTATAGGTTTACGGTTACTGATAAATCATAAAAAAACTTTATAGCACCACTTTCTTCTAATTAACGAATTAAATAATCAGCGCCTTCGACCAATAAAAACTGAATAAACACTAATGGACGTCATCACATTAATTCTTTGCTTCTTCTTCGTAGGCTTCGCTGCTTCAACTCAAATTTAAGCTCAAGTCTTGAAATCTGACTTTCGAAGCTTTACTTCGCTCAGGCTTTACTCGGCTCAATAATAATCTAACTTCGGTCTTCCACGCTTTATTTTCATTGAAATCTAAACCAAAATGACAATACGAAATTTCGAGTAAAATCATAATTCTAAACAAAAATTAATGCCTCAGTGCATCATCATCTATGATCAACTATTTCCATTCCATACCTTGTGATTTCGACCTCTTACTTCGTTGATAATTTTTTATTGCAGCGATTGCAGCGAAATTATTAAGTTAATTTCAATTTGCAGTGAACGAATGTGGCAAAACCATCCAACTCTCGCCTCAAAATGAAGGAGATCAAATTTTGGTGTACTCACATCCCGGGTTTGGATGTAAGGCTTTCCCCGACGGCCCAACCTACAACTGCAACGTCACCTTCACGACACCGACTACACTGGGCTTAGGCTATTTTGGTTATTTTTCTGGCGCTGACGGGTCCTGCGACGGCTACACGCTGGGCCTTGAAACGTCCGGCAGTTCAAACATACTTGATTTGTGCACTGCTGCTAATGGATGGGTCAGTGATAGGAAGCTCTTTATCCTCTCTTTATATTACGATTGATTTATTCAAACATTCTATTTAATTATAAATTCAATAAAGACTTATGTGAAAGTTATTTGCTATCGCATTTAATCACGATCTCTCTGTGTAATTACTCAACATTGGTCCCAGCTAAACAATCACTCTAATTTCAAGCATAATTGCCAAAAATTTTGATAGGTTATCTATTCGATCATCGCATTTAAAACTTATTATCCTTAGTTCCCTGCCACCTGCACATACGTATTGCAGGGCTGCATTAGCTTATACATATTTTTTATCTAACAATCTGTTCTTTGTCACCAGCTGCCTCCTCTATTTTTCAACTTGCATTACCGTTCCAAATCAAATCACATTCATTTTTCATAAGAATTAATTCGAAAAAATGTCTTCGCTATATTGGTCTTGAGAAAATAAGTCACTAGAACATGTAAATTCACTCTGAGCGACAGTGTTAGAATTGCCTCCTAATATGGTTTTAATTTTCAGCTCGACCCCTTGAATCAACCCCTAACTATCACTCTCCGAGGCACTGCAGCGGCGAAGACGTTCAAAGCGGGGTTTACTGTTACAATGGTTTTAGCTAGTGCCTAGTGTCTACGTGTCTACCGCCTAGTCTCATAAGTGATGAGACTGCCCGCCTAGTGTCTACGTGTCTACCGCCTAGTCTCATATGTGATGAGACAGGCAGTCTAGTGTCTACGTGTTTACCGCCTAGCCTCATAAGTGATGAGACTGGAGCCTAGTGTCTACGTGCCTACCGCCTAGTCCCACAAGTGATGAGACTGGCCGCCTAGTGTCTACGTGTCTACCGCCTAGTCTCATAAGTGATGAGACTGGCCGCCTAGTGTCTACTTGTCTACTGCCTAGTCTCATAAGTGATGAGACTGGCCGCCTAGTTTCTACGTGTTTACCGCCTAGTCTCATAAGTGATGAGACTGGCCGCCTAGTGTCTACGTGTCTACCACCTAGTCTCATAAGTGATGAGACTGGCAGCCTAGTGTCTACGTGTCTACCACCTAGTCTCATAAGTGATGAGACTGGCAGCCTAGTGTCTACTTGTCTACCACCTAGTCTCATAAGTGATGAGACTGGCAGCCTAGTGTCTACGTGTCTACCACCTAGTCTCATAAGTGATGAGACTGGCAGCATAGTGTCTACGTGTCTACCACCTAGTCTCATACGTGATGAGCCTGGCAGCCTAGTGTCTACGTGTCTACCGCCTAGTCTCGTAAGTGATGAAACTGGCAGTCTAGTGTCTACGTGTTGATGGGAGGCATCCAAGCATGTGTGTGAGAATTAGAATTTCATACTGACGACATTTTGATCCTCAGTAGTTATTAGTTTAGAGAATTAATGTCTCTGCTGTCTCTGGCAATGATTGACAATAATCTCGAGCAGCGGTTTGCTATTAGGTTTTGCTTCCGACTTTGACACAGTGCGAAATTGGCTAAACCTTTAAAGTGTAAAGCACGCTTTGTTTTCATGTTTATCGGTTGAACACAACTTCGGGTTGAATAAACAGTCAGCACTGAGAGAAATGGGCGGGTCTTGATGACCCACTTTGATGAGTCAACCGCGTCCGAAAATCGATGCACTTTTTTGACTCACTTGTCCCATTTGTGGGTCATACTGACCCAATAAATTCCAGGCATGACTCACTTGTGACGTCAAATCCCTTATGACGCCACCCGTAGCATGGATACGTAGTTAGCATCTGGGCGTCAGAGTGATTTAACGCCCCCAAGTGAGTCATGCTTGAAATTTAATGGGTCAGTATGACCCACAAATGGGGCAAGTGAGTCAAAAAAGTGCATCGATTTTCGGACGCGGTTGACTCATCAATGTGGGTCATCCAGACCCGCCCATTTCTCTCAGTGAGGTTGGAGGCGATGTTGAGCTGCTCGCAACTCTAGTCTGTAAGCAACGTCTGGAGGCAGCAATTGTCTGCAACAGAAATTCTTTGAATTGCTTCTATAACCTATAATGCCGCATGTGGTGTAGCATGAACGGCTAATACGTGTGCTTAGCACCCTTAAGGTACCTCACCCCGCAAATCTTTGCGCGTTCTTGTGGGTTCCTCAATGCACGTTTTGTTTTTAGTTGCTGGAATGAGTAGGTTTGCTAATATAGTTGGCCAATCTTTCTGCAATTTTCGTGGATCCCAACTTTGCGCGTTCTTAAGCGTTTCTCAATGCATGTTTTGTTTTCAGCAGCTGGAATAAGCAGGTTTGCTAATAATTGGTCAATCCTTCTGCAACTTTCGTGGATCCCAAAAGTGATAGATTTAAATTGCTTTTTTAATCGCGTCATGGCGATGGCTATATTGATATAAATTTTACCTGCTTTCCTATAGTAAGCTCTCACTGACCATTGATATTTAGTTGACTACGGGAAATCTGGAGTTTTGTTGTGTGTTTGTGTGACCATATACGTGTTGAATGCGTGAAATTAAGTTTAAAAGGGTTTAAAGGATTTTTAGGGCTTTAACGTTTATCGTGTTTTATGGGGAGCTTGCTCGTCATAAATCGAAAATTGAGACTTTTCCGGTTTTCAAGGTCATTTTGAAGGTCCAAGAACTGTGCATTTAATGAGCCCAAGGCAATGTTTGTACTTTCATCTGCCAGAATCCAGAGTAAAGCCGTGGATAAAACACGTAACTGCGATGAGCACAAATTTCAGTTTTTTTGGCACTTGGAATTTTCATCTTAGAAATCTATTTCTTCCTAAATATGATTTTCAAGCAACAGCATTGAAAGATACGCCATTCGATTTGTAAAGACCTGATCTGGCGATCGTCCGGTCACTTTTTCTGATTTCTTTTTTGATTGATTATATTTTAATAAAACAATGGGGGAGGGGCCAAAATTGAACAAATCCGAAAAATTATAAAAAATTTGAAAAATTGATAGGATAATCGCTAAATATGGTCTTCACGAATCGTGAATATTTCTATAAATTTCCCATTTTCTTAAATTTTTTTTTCTGAAAATTTTCTTGAACAAAGAAGTCTTAGATTCTTATTTTATATATGTGCAGCAAGATTCAAAATGATCCGGCCGTAAATAAATATTTTTTTAACATTCATGCTCCCTTTAAAATAAGCTGTTAGTAGTAATGCCACGCACGAGTGTGTTACTTTAGCTGTGCGAAGTGGTGATGCCACGCAGGAGTGCTGTTACTTTAGCTGTGTGAAGTGGTGATGTCACGCACGAGTGCTGTTACTTTAGCTGTGTGAAGTGGTGATGCCACGCACGAGTGCTGTTACTTTAGCTCTGTGAAATAGTGATGTCAAGCATCGGTGCCGTTTCTACTGCTGTATGAAATATTCTTTCGATTTTTAGTAGCTCAAAACGTACTGTTTTCTCCATAAAATAACTGTTCAGGCGAAGAGACCGAGCAATCAAATCTTTCGTTGCCCCAACCTTAGTAAATATGTTAGGAGAATCTAATTGGTTATAGTAGAGTAATGAAGTACCCCTTATTAAAATTTTATTATTAATTTTTCTTATTAATATTTTTCTTATTGAAAACACGGCCGAGTGGGGGAAAAATAAGGCAATATCAACTAAATAATTATTTATTAATTGACCGCCGCAAGAAGTAACGCGTCGAGAGCCGAGGATGGCAGTGCCACCATCGGACGCGCCTCCCGAGCTTCAGCACACTCGCCCGCTTTCAACTAGATATAGGTGTTTGCACTGCGCAAAGGAAATGGATATATACGTTTAATTTGAAACGTGAAAATTATAAATTAACAAGAAGTCTTGACTATTCACAAATATAGCTCACATGATAAGAGACGGATCGATAAGGGTTAAGACGATTAAAGTATTTTAGCATTAGACGTACACAAGAGACACAGGACTTCCAATTTACACTTAATTAATATAGGCACAAGTGGAGGTTATACCCTCCATATTGCAGGAACAAGGCACCATGAAGAGCTTTAAGCGAGCACTACGCGTTAGTTTTCGCAGCTCACCTCCGTGAATGCAGAACCAGCAAGTTTGGTGTCGTAGCGTTGCCAGATGGTCCGCCAGTCCGTGGGCGCCGTGACGACAGTTCTTCATGCCGTGCTGACGGGAAGTCGCTCATGGTAGGGCCCAAGTCCCGGACGCGTCAGAGATAGTACCAGTGTGGTCCGCCGTGACCTCATCACAGCCCGAAAGGTAGCCACCGCCGAACCCCGATCGCTCCACAGGTCTCTACTGCCTCATAGAGACGGGGCTAAAACACAAGAAGTTCGTGTCCGGCATCTTGATGTCGACCAAGGCTGAAGATGAAGAGATGATTAATCTTATGCGCTGACTGTATGAACGTTAGAGTGGAACTGCTTGCTAGGCCCCGGAACAGGGGCAGAGAAGTTTTGTCGTTAGAGTCGTTATAATAGAAATATGGATGGCTTAGCTGCTAAACTGCTACGTGTGCTCGAAATTATATAAAGAAATTTAAAGCTTTATTTTCTCAAGACATTAAATCAGAATTATTAAATTGGAAGTCCGGTCATATGGTTCGTGGCATTAATTTTATACATCGCCGAGCTACCAAAACTAAGTGATGGAAGGAAGATACCTTCAGTTTTCTACATTTTTAGTTTATATCGATGATGTAAAACAGGTGCTTGCTGAATTGGCCAAATCAATTTCATTTGTTCTTCGATTGTATCAATTCTTCTGAAATTTCCTGTAATCCTATCCCAGTCTGTGATCAAAATTGGGTCGTGTTAAGGATAGGTTAGAAATCACGTGTTTTATGTTTATGTGTGCGTGCTGCTCAAGAAATTGAATGCACACGTTGAAGTTTCGAAATTTATCCATCAATGCAATTCCATGAGAACGTCGGTCGCTTGCTGAATTCTCGAACCTGCAGTGCCCAATTTTAGGGCTGAACACTCAATATTAATTAGGACATATATATATACGGCAATAATGGGATCATGCGGGGCATTACTTTCGTACTCGAGCTTAGTCCTCCACCTTGTCATTTATTCGAGTCATGACTGTACTAATATTCCAATCTTCCGTTAGTTTTCTGAGATGTTGCTTTCGGTCTCAGATGTGATTAATCATCCCAGTAAATGTGTTGCATTCACACGTAGTTTCTATCGCCTTCTTTAACGTTAAGCTCCTGCTCTCGGAGTTTATGTCGACAAGGAGCTGAAATTTTCTAAGCATGTTGAGACGAAAGCTATTACATCCAACAAACTTCTTGGTCTAATCAGACGCTCTTACGAGTTCCTAGATGCAAAAGCGATGAAGCAGTTGTTTGTTGCTGTCGTGCGCCCGAATCTAGATCTTGGAAACGTTGTGTGGTCACCGAGATTTGAAAAGGACAAATATTTAATAGAGAATGTTCAAAGACATGCAACAAGGATAATTCCAGGCTTGAAGGGCAAGTCCTATGAATAAAGATTAAAGATTATGAAGCTTCCAAGCCTCAGTTATCGACGTCTGCGTGGGGACCTCATTGAAGTATACAAGTATACTCATGGTCTATACAAGGTCCCT